CACACACACACACACACACACACATACACACACACACACACACACGGCGCGCGCGCGCACACACAAACACATTCAGACACACACATCTCATTTCATTTGTCTACATACACACTGCGCATAGACCTATAATAATGGGTGGTTTGCGGGTGCTCTGGTGTGGTCAACACCTTCTTTCCAAAAAAAAAAAAAAGAAGAATATAGTGTCCTTAACTCTCCTCATTTTTGGGGGGGTTCGTCACTCTCTTGTGAAACCTCTAAACTTATATGACCGAACTGTGTTGCAAGTGCCGTAAAACGCTTACTAAAATTAAAAGTACTAAAAGACCTATATAATAATATAAGAGTAGAGAAGCAAGGTTTGTCCGTGGCCTATACCCTGGTGCAGGGTGAGAAAGGCAATGATGATGATGATGAGAGAAGCAAGGATAGAGAATAATATGTAGGCCTTTGTTTGTCGCGTGACCTTGGAATGGCCGTGACATTTTCTGTCCGAAGCAGGTTGAGATCATAGACTTAAAGTAGGTGTCGAGTAAATCTATGGTTGAGATAGGCTAAGGCAGAAGATGTTATACTTCCACATGATGAGTACATCACATGACAGCACGTGTGCTGTGTTTTGTGATGTCACACGGCTCACTTCTCTGTCTATCAACATGTAGATCTAGGACTGTAGTCTTTCATCATTCTGTCCAGTATGACTGTTCAGTGAGTAGATCAAGCAAGCTGATTATGTCCAAGGGAAATCGCGATGCGTACAGTCTACGGTTAAAAATATTATTTAATTGCAGATAGTAGTGAAAGAGGTAGATTAAAAAAAATTTTAAATACAACTTTCAAGAAATGAAATTTGCTGTAATCATGGCATTCCCAACTGTGCACAGTCGACAATCGTCTTGGGGAAACCCCCTCTGGACACTTTACCGAAGAAAATCCGGCGGTCCTGCAGATTTCAGATTAAGCAAGAGGACTTCACTGTATTTTAGTTTTAGTAAGAGTTTTACGGCACTTGCAAAACCATAAGGTGAGTAGAGTTAGCCTGATTCCCCGTATGGACTTCTAAGTTCTATGTTGACATCCACCCCTTGGCGCTTATATGACCTTTTGCATTTGCGATCGCCGTAAAACCTTACTAAAACAAAAAAACAAAAAAAACCCCTGAAAGGTCGTATAGTTTAAGTGCGAAGATTAGAGGTGTTACGAGAAATTAATAAACACCAAAAAGAAGGCAGGAGAGATTATAAAGATGAAAGATGTTTGACAGAAAAGAAGGAGCAAACCACACTAGAGCACCCGCCAACCACCAACAACTTCACTGTAGGCTAATAATGTAATAATGCACGCCTTCGCCATATATTCTATAGACTGAGGTAGGCATCATCATCATATTTGCCTGGATCAGGAATACAAACACTTTCCACTTTTCTCTATCCTGGGCTAGCCTCTTGTTGTTACTCCATGTCTTCTCACTTTTCTGTACCGGACATCAATTTCTGTGACTCTTCTCCAGGTTCCACGTAGTACTCCCCTTGATCTTTTACCCTGTGGGTTCCAATCCAACATTTTCCTTGTACGTTGTACGTGTTGTTATGCAGCTGCCTGACTTCCTGAGAGTGAGAGTAGGCTATGTCCAAATCCATCGCCACCGCCTTCTCCCCACCTCAGTCAGAATGTAGGCCTACCCAGTAGGCAGACACTATTCGGAGACGCCTCCCGCACACAGATGCACTATTTGGG